TTGCAGTACTCGTAAGCGAAGAAATCAAATTAAATCTAATAAACGAACTCGGACTCCTCTCACGCAATCCAACCCATTCAATTAGATCCCCCAGATAACTCCAATATAAATGATCTAATCCCACAAAAACTAACCTCTAAACTCTACGTAATTCTAGATACATAATCAGAACTACCTTCCTGAAATCTTGAGTATTCACATAATACTCGTCGACGCAGCCACTCCAATACCCAAACATCAAATCTACTAAGAACTCGATAGCTCACCCTATACTTCTCACTCACCTGGCATAAAGAATAACGAGAAATGCAGCTGCCAACATATACCAAACTAGCCAAGAAACCTACAAGACAAAATATCCGGCGACTACGGCCCCCAAATCCGTTGACTACTCTTACCCAAACACTATACACTCGCTCCTGACGACCAAAGCGTAAACAGCACATAGTCACAACCGGCTCACTCATAAATCGTAGACAACTAACACGATGCTATAAGATAAAACGAGAAATAAGAGCAGAGACATCCGTTAGCCAGAAAACAAGGTCCATCACCAAGACAGAATCACCTGCAGGGATGGGCAGGACAGCTGCCCAGAAAAGGAATTGAAGGAATCCTAGAATGCTAGAGTTGGAAGGGACCTGGGGGGCCACCCAGTCCAACTCCACCCTGCCAGGAAGCAGGGGAATACATAGGGAAGCAATGGTTAGGAGCAAGGGGATGTGATGTTGCGTGCAGAGGCATCCTTATGCAACAGGAAGGGAAGGAGGCATATGCCACCCTGTGGCCAGGACGCACACTGCACCACTCTGTTCTCACTTTGGGGTGTTGTGTATTTATTATGTTGTATTATTTTGGGCCTGGCCTCATGTTAGCTGCCCTGAGTCCCCTTTGGGGAAATGGTGGTGATTTACAAATAAAGATTATTATTATTATTATTATTATTATTATTATTATTATTATTATTATTATGTGGTGGAGGCTCCTTCTTTGGAGGCTTTGAAACAGGGGCTGGATGGCCATCTGTCAGGGGTGCTTTGAATGCAACATTCCTGCTTCTTGGCAGAATGGGGTTGGACTGGATGATGGCCCAGGAGGTCTCTTCCCACTCTAGGATTCTATTATTATTATTATTATTATTATTATTATTATTATTATTATTATTATTATTTCAGGGCTGGGTGGCCAATGCTTTCTAGCAGCATTTTCTCCTGGCACTTCACCTGCGAAAATGCTGCTGGAACACAAGGGCCATACAGCCTTGAAAACCACACCACACCCAGTGATTCCAGCCGTGAAAACCTTCGACAAGACCTACGTTAAGGAGGGAGGAAGCTTGTTTTCAGCTGCTCTGAAGACTAGAAGACAACGAAGCCATGGATTCAAATGGCAGGGAAAGAGATTCCAACTAAATGTTGAGAAGAATGCCTTGAGGGCAAGAAGAGCTGCGTGAAGGTGGAATCGGCTGCTCCTTGGGAGTTTGGTGGAGCCCCCTTTGTTGGAGGGATGTAAGCAGAGGCTGGCCGGCCATCTCTCGGGAGGGCTTGGATCCTGTGTTCCTCCATAGCAGGAAAGGAGATTCCACCTGAACATGAGGAAGAACTTCCTGACTGTGAGAGCCGTTCAGCAGTGGAACTCTCTGCCCTGGAGTGTGGTGGAGGCTCCTTCTTTGGGCTTTTAAACAGAGGCTGGATGGCCATCTGTCAGGGGTGCTTTGAATGCAATATTCCTGCTTCTTGGCAGAATGGGGTTGGACTGGATGATGGCCCACAAGGTCTCTTCCAACTCTAGGATTCTATCATTCTATGACTGTGAGAGCTGTTCAGCAGTGGAACTCTCTGCCCCGGAGGGAGTGTGGTGGAGGCTCCTTCCTTCTTTGGAAGCTTTGAAGCAGAGGCTGGATGGCCATCTGTCGGGGGTGCTTTGGATGTGAGTTTCCTGCTTCTTGGCAGAATGGGGTTGGACTGGAGGATGGCCCAGGAGGTGTCTCTTCCAACTCTAGGATTCCTTCCTGACTGTGAGAGCCGTTCAGCAGTGGAACTCTCTGTCTCGGAGTGTGGTGGAGGCTCCTTCTTTGGAAGCTTTTAAACAGAGGCTGGATGGCCATCTGTCAGGGTGCTTTGAATGCAATATTCCTGCTTCTTGGCAGAATGGGGTTGGACTGGATGGCCCATGAGGTCTCTTCCAACTCTAGGATTCTATGGTTCTATGACTGTTAGGAATTGTGGGAGTTGAAGTCCAAAACACCTGTAGGGAGGGTCAGTGTTGGCCCATACCTACCATAGAGTTTACCTCCAGGTGGCCCAGTCTCCTTGCAAGTGCTCCTTCCCAATGAACTCCCTTCAGGTGTGGGTCCAAGAGAAATGGACCTGGATGGGAACGGGCCCTTCCTCTCCGCTCTGGCCTGGAATGAAGAAGTCCTTCTACCTCTCTCTGTGTCTTTTCTACAGGATTTTGGCCTGGACGTGCCCGCCTTCTGCAACCTGGTGGAGGCCAACTGCCCCATGACCTTCCTCCAGCTGGCCTTCCACTGCTGCAGCGTAAGAAAGCCTATTACTACTACTACTGCTGCTGCTGCTACTACTATTATTTATTTATTTATTTACAGCTTTTCTATTCCGCCCTTCTCCTCACCCGGCAGGGGACTCAGGGCGGATTACAGTGTACACATATATGGCAAACATTCCATGCCAGTTTTTGATATACAAACATATACATACATACACAGAGGCTATTTAACGTTTTCTGACCGCCAGGGGAGCTGTTGCTTTCCTCATCCATCTGTGACGCTGATGAAACACTTCCGCATTCCCCGCATGCTTCCCCGCTGGAATGCTTTGTTGGAGTCTTCTTTATGACCTCATAAATTAGTTAATTTAGCCTCCCCACACTTTTTTTAAGGTGGTACCTAATTTTCCTACTTGACAGATGCAACTGTCTTTTGGGTTGCAAAGGTCGACAACAGGCTACACACAATTGGTTGGAAACCCACTCCAACCGGGCTGGCTTCGAACTCATGACCTTTTTGGTCAGAGTGATCTTAATGCAGCTGACACTCAGCCAGCTGTGCCACAATCCCGGTACTGTGCCACAATCTCTGTGCTACTACTACTAATACTATTGTTACTACTACATAGGTATCTACACAGGTTCCTTGGCTTTGAAATGGAGATGAGCACGGCTGCCCGAGCTGGAAATGAAAGGAGAAGCCTTTGCCTTTGCCTGTGTGGCTTACAAGGGACAAACCCAAAAATTGCAAATAGAACACAACCAATTAAAAGCATAAGATAAAATATAAAAACAACCACAATTGTAAACAACACCCAAACAATATGGCTGAGAAAAAGAACATAGTTGAGGTTCAAGCTCAGTGAGTGCAGGACATCCTGAAGGGAGCGCAAGGAAAGTGCAACCGTCAAGTAGACAGGGCCGGGAATCGCGTCATCAAAAGTGTTGAGGTGGTCGATCAGAGGGCCAAATGTAAAGTGCTGAATTTAAAATAGGGACAGGAAAAAATTACTGGTGGACTGCTTAATGGAAAGCACACCGTTCTCCCTCCCTCCCTTTGTCCAGATGGACCCCACGTCGCGGCCGTCCTTCCTGGAGATCACGCAGCGGCTGGAGGCCGTCCTGGAGCAGCAGCTGGCCCTCCGAGACGCCAGCAGCCCCGACCAGACGAGCAGCAACGGCAGCTGCCGGGCGAGGAACCTCCCTGGGAGCCCAGTGGCCCTGCTCAACGGTAGGTGCCCTTCGAAAGCTATGTGTGGCCTTGTGCAGCTGCCAAGGGAGGGAATGAATATTTTCCCCAATGTATGGTAGGGAGGTGTGGGAGGGGAGGTGGGATGTATTCCTGCTATTGTTAGTCATGTAATAGCTGTAGTTTTGTGAAGCAATGGCTCCTTTTGGACCTTGGCCCTTAACATGGTATCAGATTCTGTTCATTCTTCAGTGTCGATGCCCCATGGTCGCAAAGTGTAATGGCCGTCATGGCCCAGGGTGCAGAGACCCCTCTTTCTGGTTGTGCCGGCAGATACTGCCGCGTGTGCTTTGCTCCTCATGGTGTGCCTTGTGCCCCCGCAGGTCAAGCGCCCCAGGGCCCAGCCTCTGCCCACCCGCCGCCCGGCCTGCTCTCCGTCCAGCAGCTCCTCCCCGTGGACCAGCAGCGCCTCTCCCGCAGCCAGTCGGACATGTTCCCGGCCCCTTCGCCGGCCCCTGCCCCTCCGGACAGCACCCCGCAGCGGGTGAACCCCTTCTCGCAGCGCCAGGACCTGAAAGGGGGCCGCATCAAGCTCTTCGACACCCCCAGCAAGTCCTTGATCTCACTGACCTTCGACCTCCCGCCACCCTCCCCGCTCCAGCCTGGAACCCCCATCACCCCAGACCCGGCAGTGGAGGCCCAGTGCGACTTCTCCCAGGCCGCCTCCTCCCCCTCCTCCTCCTTGTCCACCTTGAGCCCCCGCCGGTGCCGCTCCCTCCCGTCCTCCCCAGAGATGTCCCATCGCCGGGGGGCACCCCACGCGGACCCCCCTAACCACTGCGCCAACGGTCCCTTGGCACTGGACTGCAGCCGCCTGGAGGCTGACCCCGAGACCCCCGAGATGATGGACTGCCGCCCGGATGCCAGCCCGGACCCCGAGCCCCCCGCTGCCCCGGCCCCTCCTCCGCTGCCGCCGGTGACCAACAGCAACTGCATCAGCACGGCCGTTTCCCGGGCCCCGCGGCTGTGGCCCCCCAACGGGGTCCTCCTCAACAACAACAGCAAGGCCCCCGGCGGCTGGGGCGGGTCCCTCTCGGAGCTGAGCGTGGCCCCCCACATGGACGAAGGGGGGGTGCCGGGGGAGCGGGCGGCGCTGGCCCTGGGGCCCCCCGAGGGGAGCGTGGCCACCGCTGACCCCGAGGAGGTGCTGTCCTGCCCGGCGTGCTGCCTGGGGCCCTTCGGCTTCAGCCTGGCCTCCGTCTGCCACCGGCCCAGCGCCAGCAGCACCCCCCGCTACCAGAACCTCAACTGCGAGGCCCGGAGCCTCCAGGGCCCGGAAAGAGTGGCCCCGGGCCCCCGCAAGGGACCCCAGAGGCCGGCGGCCCTGTCCTCGGAGCCCAGCCTCAAGCTGCCCGAAGCACAGTCCTAACTACGGCCGGCCTGGCCGGGCGCCCCTTCGCCGGCCTCACCTGACCTCCTCCCTCCTCCTCGTCCAGTAGCGGCCTCAGGAATCCAACGGGGCAAGAAGGGGGCTGCCATGGTGGCGTTGGTTTGACCGACCACCTGGTCAACGAAGCGTCTTGAGGACAAGAGGGCAAACTGCCCATAGCACAACCTTGAGATGGCTGGACAGACGCTCTGTCCAAACCCAGCTGTGGGTCCGCAGTGGAGCCCCTCCGCTGGCCTTGCGTGACCTCGATGCCTTTTAGTCCTTGGGTAGCCTAAGGGTCCCAGGGGCTATTCTGGCCAGACCCAGCTTGGCCATCTTTCCCTTGCGGACGTGGGAGGGGAGCTGGGGAGGGGACCGGCCTTC